GAAAACCTTATACCCATTAAGCAAATGCTCCTCATTCTGTCCTCCCCACATCCCCTGGCAACCACCTGTCTGCATTCCATTTCTATGGATTTAGCTATGCTAAGTATTTCATATAAATAGAATCATACAATATGTAGTCTTTTGTGTCTGGCTTTCACTTAATGTTTTCAAGGTTCACCCACATTATAGCATGTATCAGTGCCTCCTTTTTGAGGCTGAATAATATTCCATTGTACATATATACCACAATTTATTATCCATTTATACATTGATGGGTATTTGTGTATTTTCTACCGTTTGGCTATTGTGAATACTGCTGCTCTGAAAATGGATGTATACATATTTACCTGAGTACCTGTTTTCAATTCTTTTGAATATTTGCCTAGGAGTGGAATTGTTGGGTCATATGGTAATGCTGTCTTTAACTTTTTGAAGAACTGGCCAACTTTTTCACAGCAGCTGTGCCTTTTTACATTCCCACTAGCAATGTAAGAGGCTCCAATTTCTCCACATCCTCGCCACACTTGTTATTTCCCTTTTTTAAAATAGCAATCCTAGTAGGTGTGGAGTGGTATCTCCTGGTTTGGATTTGTACTTCCCTAATGACTATTGAACATCCTTACATGTGCTTGTTAGCCACTTGTATATCATCTTTGGAGAAATGTCTATTCAAATCCTTTACCCATTTTTTTAATTTGGTTGTTTTTCTTTTGGTTGTTCAGTTGTAAGAGTTCTTTATATATTCTGAATACCAAGCCCTTATCAGATACATGATTTGCAAATATTTTCTCCCATTCTGTGGGTTGTCTTTTTACTTTCTTGTTGGTATTTGCTGAAGCACAAAAGTCTTCAATTTTGATGAAGTACAAATTATCCTTTTTTTTGTTATTCATGCTTTTGGTGTCATGTCTAAGAATACATTGATAAATCCCAAGTCATAGAGTTTTACCCCTATTTTCCAAGAGTTCTATAGTTTTAGCTCTTACATATAGATCTTTGATCCTTTTTGAGTTAATTTTTGTGTATGACATGAATGACTTGCTTCTCTCTGAATGACATCCCCACTTTGGGACCTGAGTGCTCAGTAAGGGTAGGGCAGTAGCCTCAGGTCTTCTCAGCTTGCCTCTGCCAGTATGAAACCACCACACGAGCCAGGGCAAGGGTGACCAGGGCTTCAGTATTTTCAGCCCCACTGTGCTCTGGATAGAGCCTCTGTCACACTAGAGGGGGCTGGGTGAAAGAAGGCACCCCCACCTTTCAGCCACATTAGCCCAGAACTTAGCATCAGCAACAGGTAGCTGGCGGCAGGATGAGAAATGTGGATGTCCTGCCCCTTCTGGGAAGATAATCCCCCAACTGGGAGCTGTATAAAGGGGGAGCCCTGTATTCTTGGCTGCACCAGGCTGGAACAGAGCTTCCATCTCACTGAGCTGGGAAGTGGGAGGAAGAGAGTAGCCTTGATTCAAATACCACAGGCTCCTGCTGTTCTTATGGAATCTTAGTAGATTTTCTTGAACAGATATTTTATTCATTTGGTATATGCTCTTAGTATTATTTCCAGAGGCAGTAACTGTTTTTTTTTAAATAACACTGGGGAGTGGATTCATGGAGCACCTCATGCTGTCTACAATAAGCCAATCTCTCCTCCCACTTCCTCTTTAGCTCATCTTAAAAAGCCCTCTTTTGACCTTACCATTTCTCAGGGACATTATTAATGCTGACCAGTATCCTGTTTCCCTTCCTTCTGAGGCAAATGGGAGACTACACTTCCCAACATCCTTGCATCACACAATGCCACATGACTAGAGCTGACCAAGGAAATGTGAGCAGAAGCAATACCTGCACAAAGCCTCTGTGTGATTCTCCAGTTTCTCTCTTCCCCTGCCCAAGTAAACCTGGAAACCTTGTGTTGAGATGGTAAAGTTAACATATCAAAGCATATTCAATTGCTAAGTCACCCAGGGAGGGCAGCTGTTCTGAAGAGTTGTCTGCACTTGCTGCAGACTTTGGGTAAGGGAGAAAGAGACTCTTGTCTTACACCACTGAAATTTCTGCAGTTGCAACACAGCCTAAGCTATCCTGATAAATACATCACTTCACTGTAATGACCTCTGCTAAGGTCACCCAGCCTTTGCTAAGGTACAACCCAGCTCCAAATAACATTTTTTATCATTTACCTTACTTGGCCTCTCAGGTATATAACTGCTACTATTTATTGAGACATATGTCACTAGCATTTTATAAATATTATCTCATCATAATAAAACAAAATCAAACTTGTCAGAACGTGGGTCCTAATTGGGGGGGGAGTGGAAACTAACTCAGTGTGGCAGAGAGGTTTCTAGCAAGTTTGGATGAGGGGGCGGGGTGTCAGGATTAGTCTGGAAAACAGGGGAACTTCCCTAGTGAAGGCTCCCAGGCACCTGAGGACACCTACCAGGAAAGAAATGGTCAATCTTTCCCTCCTTTCTACTCCCTTCTTCCCTCATCTGTTGGTTCATCGATTCATTCAGACAGTAAACCATTACCAAGTACTTATAGCTGCGCAGGCACCAGGCCAGACTCTGGGGACACAGGGAGAAAACAAGGTGCCTGCTCTCAGGAAGCTCACTATTTTACTGGAGAAGACAGACAGACAAATCACATGAGACTCAGGCATTAACTGAGGCACATACATGATGCTGGGAAAACTAGATAGCCATATACAAAAGAATGAAATTGGACCCTTATCTTACACCATACACAGAAATCAACTCAAAATGGATTAAAGAATTAAATTTAAGACTTGAAACTATAAAACTCCTAGAAGACAACATAAGGGAAAAACTTCATGGCATTGGTCTTGACAATGATTTCAAGGATATGATGCTAAAAGTACGGGTAACAAAAGCAAAAATAAACAAGTGTGACTACATCAAACTAAACGGCCTCTGCACACCAAAGGAGACAATCATCAAAGTGAAAAGACAGTCTAAGGAATGGGACAAAATATTTGCAAACTATGTCTTTCACAAGGGGGTATACTCATAAATATATAAAGAATTCCCACAACTCAATAGTAAAAAAAAAAAACTCAATTTAAAAATGGGCTAAGGACTTGAATAGACATTTCTCAAAGATATATAAATGGTAAACAGATATATTACTAACCACTAATCATCACTAATCATCAGGTAAATGCAAATCAAAACCACAATATCATCTGAAACATGTTATAATGGCTATGAACAAAAACAACAAAAAAAGACAAGTGTTGGCAAGAATGTGGAGAAATTGGAAGCCTTGTATGCTGCTAAGGAAAACAGTACAGAAGTTCTTCAAGAAATTAAAAATAAAACTATCATATGATCCAGAAATCCCACTTCTGGGTGCTTATCCAAAAGAACTTAAGTCAGGATCTTGAAGCAATATTAGCAGTCCCATATTCATTGCAGCACTATTCCTAACAGCCAGGATATGGAAACCACTTAAATGTCCATCAACAGATGAATGGCTAACAAAAGTGTATACACATACAATGGAATATTATTCAGCCTTAAAAAGAAGGAAATCCTAAAATGTGTGGCAATGTAGATGAACTTTTAGAACATTATGCTAAGTGAAATCAGTCAGTCACAGAAGGACAATTACTGCTTGATTCCACTTAGATGACCTCTCCATGTCCCCTCTACTCCTGTTTGCAGAAAAGCTTTAGCCCCCTAGGCCTTCCCTAGGGCAAATTTAATCAAAGAAGGGAGAAAATGCAGAAACAATGGAAAACAGTCAAGCAAGACAAAATAATGAGTTTAGCCATAACAAAGTCAAGGGCCTTTAGTTCTCCCTCAAAGGCTACAGAAATATCCAGAGCCATATCCTTGAGTTGTTTTGCAGGTACTAAAACCCCCACCAGTTGGAAGATGTTAACTGCATGCTGACCACCAGCAGGTAGACCCCAGACTGGTTGGAACCAGAAAGTTGATGACTGAGATTCCAAAAACATCACCCTGTTACCCCACCATCAACCAGTCAGAGAATTGTGTATGAGCTGATCACATTCCCTCACACTGTCTTTAAAAACCCTTCCCTGAAAGCCATCGGGGAGTTTAAGTCTTTTAAGCATGAGCTGCCTGTTCTTCCTTGGCCCTATACTGGGCACCTTGCAGTAAACATTGCACTTTCCTTCACCACAACCCAATGTCAGTAGATTGGCTTTACTGTGCATTGCGCGAGCGGACCCAAGTTTGCTTCGGTAACACGATGAGATCTTTTAACACTGGAAGCTTTTTTTGTCTTTGGGACACAGCCCTACTTGAAATTAGGAAAGTATTAATTTTGAACCATTTTCCCCCTTAGCCTTAGAAGTTTCTGCTTAGTAGTTGTTTACCATACATAAAGAAGAAACATTTCTGATCTTAACTTTTTTGTTTTCTTATATATTCATCTTTGATGTCTTTTCCCCCTTTGAGTTTTTTAATAGCTCCAAATCCCTCAAACCTGAATTTCTTTAAGTTCATTATTTTCCTTTCTAATTGTCTTCGTTTACTTCTATATCTATAGAATGTGTTTCTGTACTTGTTTAACATTTGACAAAATCTCTTCATATTTTTATAATATAACATAAACATTTTATTAACATTATTGTTACATCTAAGAATTTACCAGTATTTTTAAGATAACTAATTTTTTCTAGTTTTTTTAGGTTTTTTTTAAACCACCAACCTTGGAGATGTAATTTGGGTTCAAGAATCAGTTGTACTGTTTACTAACCATGTCATTTTGGATTTCAGCCAGCAACATATGACTTAATTTCACCCACTGCAAAATAGTGAAAACAATAGCACCTACCTGGTGTGAGGGGCAAATGATCACACCTAATGTGCCCAGCACAGCGCAAAATTGAGCTTTTTTCACGATTGTTTCTGTTGTTGTGAAAGTCCATAAGTCATTTTTCGTCTAAACTTCATCTCACTCTCAGCACTTAGGATCCTTCTAAGTCCACATTAGAGAATATGATTAACTTCTGTTTTTTGTTTGTCTTTTATACCCTATAAAATTTTTCCCTTGAGAAGATTATACATTGTCAGGATTTTAAACCTTATTTCATTTACTTACAAGTTTACATAAATGTGGTATTCTCACTCAGAATCTAATGTCACTCCTTCAAGCCTCAGCTGCCAATTTTAAACTGAAAGGAAAAATTTTAATTGAGAAATTAAACTTTGGTCTTCATGAAACTGAATTGCTTATGTCATATCTTCCATTACCTCTTGTTTTATGTCATTAGTAGACATAGGGAATAGCCGGTTAACATCTTTTGTTATGATCCTTGACCAATGAGGAAGGTACTTCAAATAATTATACTATATAATCCAACTTTTTACACTGGGAGTCCAAAGTTCTCAAACATACCCTTAACTTGGTTAATATATAAAACAAACTATTATCCTTTCCTTCACAGATAACATTAGAATCAGCAGGCGCTTATATGAATTTTTTTTGTACTTTACAAATTATCCAACTCCTTTCCTAATTGTCTGCTTGGGATTTGGGTAGTTTCAGAGGTGGTCTAGTTCAAGAATTAATTAAGAACAACAACAAACACAACAGCATTTAAATGAAAGGCACTTTGATCTTGAAATTGGATGTTAATGTTATAGTTCCCATCATCCCGGGTGGAACTGAATACCAGGCAGTCCCACATGATTCCCACAAGGAATTTTATTTGTGAAAGGAGTTAATATAAAAAGGGCAATCCAACTTATAAAAAGCAGCCTGCTCAATGAAGGCCAGAGAAGAATTTTTAAAGTAAGGGTTTTTCTGTGTGTGTGTGTGTGTGTGTGTGTGTGTGTGTGTAG